CAGTTGCACAAGATTTGTATACCTAATTTGTTCACATATATTCCCAACAGTTCCCCTCTGGGATGCACACCTTAATGTGTTGAAAGTGTCAGAGAAGTTGAGAGTAATGCTGTTAGGAAGCCAGACTGTTTCACTAGGCTGGTATCCTAGTGGGGTCACGCAAGGAGAATGGTCAAAGTGGAGACATCAGAGGACAAGTACAAATAGTACTGTCACTAATGAGATTTAACCTCAAAGGGAGTCTAATGGCTAATACGCACAGAGGTGGAAGGCAAGTCTGATTCTGTACAACACATACAATTTGAACATAGAATGTGTGATGTATCAACCAAGGCAAACTGGAAACCATAAGCATGAAATGGAACACTGGAACATTACAGTATTCAGTGTAAGCACACCAAAGTTTGTTTTCAGTCAAACAAACAAGAAGTGTTTTACTTTGGAAATGACAAACTTGTAAAAAATGAAGTAGCTCTTATACTGAGACAAGACATAGCACAGGCAGTAACAGACCAAAATGCAAAATCCACCTGAACAATATCAGTCAGAATTTGTGGGAAATTTATCAACATAACCATTATTCACATCTATGCTCCCACAGCAGATGCTGAAAATGAAAAAATTGAAAACTTTTATGCAGGTGTTCAAGAGGAAATTGATAACGCAACAAAGCAAAGACATTCTTCTGTTCCTAGGTGACTGGAGTGCAAAAATAGGAAATAAAGCAGAATCAAACGTTGGGCAATTTGGCTTAGCCATCAGAAACAAAGGAGAATGACACACAGAGCCCAGGGAAGTCAAGAATCTGTTTATCACAAATACTTCAGAAAACTTCAGAGAACATAGTTCAGAGTCAAAGAACTATATATGTGGACATCACCAGAAGGCTAATACAGAAATCAAATAGACTATGTAATTGGAAGGAAGAAATGGAGAAGGTGTATTCTCACTGCCAAATCAAGTTTGTGAACATACTGCAGTAGTGACCATGAACTTGTAATATCAAAAATTCAGAGAAAAGCTGAAAAAAATACCAGTAGAAATATTGTGCCAAGCTACAACTTCAGTAACATCCCTGAGGAACTTAAACTCTTTATTTTCTATACCACCGAACAGTTGAAACTCTCTGGGTGGTTCACAATAGCACTTTAAAAAATACAATAAAATATACAATGTTAAAAACACATTAAAACATCAAAAAGTTTACAATGCAACATTTAAAACCAACAGATTTAAAGAACAGACTTGCATTGCTTGGTTTATTTAAGCACGAGCCAGAAGAACTGTGGACTGAAACCAGAGGCATTATTTGGGAAGAAGGCCAAAAGACAATTCCTGTAGCAAAAAGAAAGAAAAAGCCTTGAATAACAGAAGAAATGCAATTGCTGAAGACAGGCAAGAAGCAAAAGCAAAAGGTGACTGAAATAGGGTCAGAATCTTGAATGCAACTTTTCAGCAACTATCATGTAGAGCATCACATGTTCCTTGAAAAAATGGGTGAGTCCCAGCACTGGCTTGTCATGATGTGTAACCTGTATCATGGACAAGAATCTGCTTTTAGGATGGAATACAGAGAAACAGAATGGTTTGCCATAGGCAAAGGTGTCAGACAAGGATATATTTTATCTCCCCGTCTGTCAGTCTGTATGCAGAGCATAGCATAAGGAAGGCTAGCTTAAAATTAGAGGCAGGTGTGAAAATAAGCAGAAGACATACCAATAATTTAAGATTCAAAGATGACACCATACTACTGGCAGAAGGCAGTGATGGCTTGAAAGAACTGCTAATGAAAATGAAAGAGCTGCAGCTGAATTTTAAGAAAACAAAAGTTATGACCACAGAAGAATTACAGAACTTTACTGCCAACAATGAAGAAACCGAAATTGTGAAAAGTTTTACATATCTTGGTTTAGTCATCAATTCAAATGGAAACTCCAGCCAAGAAATCTGAAGAAGGGCAGCAGTGAAGTAACTAGAAAAGTGTAGGGACATTTCACTGGAGACCAAAGGCAAGATAATCCATATTATTTTATTCCCAATCACAGTGTATGGGAGTGAAAGCTGGATGGTGAAAATACTGACAGAAAATTGATGTGTTTGAAACATGGTGCTGGAGAGCTTTGCAAGTACCCAGGACCAAACAAAAGGCAAACAAGTAAGTCATATATCAAATCAATCCAGAAGTTTCCCTACAAGCAAAAATGAGAAAACTGGGACTGTCGTATTTAGGACACATTGTGAAAAGGCAAGACTCACTGGAGAAGACAATCATGCTAGGGAAATGAGAAGAAAATGAAGAGCAGATATGAGATTGATTGAATCCATAAAGGCAGCCACAGTCTTGAATTTAGAACAGTTGAACAGGGCTGTCGTGGGCAGGTCATTTTGGAGGACTTTCATTCATGGGTTCTCTATAAGTGAGAGACAACTTGACACCATATAATAACAAACTTTCAAGAGTATCTAGTGCAGTGGTGGCAGCGAACCTATGGCACGTGTGCCACAGTGGGCACGCAGAGCCCTCTCTGTCAGCATGCAAGCCAAATTGCCCCAGCATCATCCCAGCAGCCGAGCATCGGATAACAGCGCACATAGGGGCCATGCACATGCTCTGAAAGGAGTAGCAGCACCAGGTGATGATGTCATGAGCTACGACTCATTAGGCATGACTCGTCCGAGCTTTCGCATGGCTGGTCAGTGTGCTGCCAAGATATATATATATATATTTGCTTGGACTGGCTGTGAGTTGTTTTTTCTAAACTAAAACCTCAGTATTCAGGTTTTATTGCAGCGTTGGCACTTTGCGATAAATAAGTGGACCTTGGGTTGTAGTTTGGGCACTGGTTCACCATCACTGATCTAGTGTATGCCAAAGTGAAAAAACAAGAGGGACAGCCTGAATCATACAGTCCTGACTGTGGGTTGCAAAACTCTTCCAAGGAATACTTTACTGGCTCATCAGGAACTTCTGGTCCACATGTAGGAATAACAATAGCTATGTCTCCATACTCAGGAAAGGCAACAGCTGTGGAACAGTTAATAATGCCATATTCCCAATTAGAGCATGACTCGACCAGACCATGCTCACATATACTCTCTGAAAATTATCCAATTCAAATTTTTGCTCTGAATCAGGATCTTTGGTCTCCTAAACATTTCTTATATAATAATTCATGGACTGGAAGTGACTTGTTGGAATTACTTATTTAGCATGCACATATATGTTAAAACTGCATTTTATTAGCTTAGTTGAACTTATTTTGTTTAAAGTGTTTATTTTAAAAGGCAATGCATACCTAAACAAAGTCTCAGTTTATACAAGAGGAGAATTCTGTACTTTCAAAATCATTTGATTAAAATATCTGACATGTAATAGCTATTAAAGAATGGATAGGAGTGTGTGGGTACTTGGTTTTTTGCTGTTCTTGTGTATTATTTGTTTCCTCGTCTTGAGTAAAGGGTTACATGTATAGAAAGACAGGGCTAGATGAATCACCAGTTGGAATTAAGATTGCTGGGAGAAATAGCAACAACCTCAGATATGCAGATGATACCACTCCAATGGCAGAAAGTGAAGAGGAACTAAAGAGCCTCTTGATGCGGGTGAAGGAGGAGAGTGCAAAAGTTGGCTTGAA